AAAGAATTAGCACCAATGTTTTCCAGACTCTTCCGTAAAAATAAAAGAGGAGGAGACACTTCCCAACTCATTCTGTGAAGTCAGTATTACTATGAAACCAAAACCAGATGAAAACATTACAAGAAAAGAAAATTATAGACCAGTATCTCTTAAAATATAGTTATAAAAATCCTCAACAGAATACCACCAAACCTAATACATCAATGTATAAGAAGGATTATACATCATGATCAAATGGGACTTATGCAAGTTTGGTTTAATATATGAGAAGCAATTTATGTAATATGCCATATTTATAGAATAAAGGACAAAACCACATAATCATATCATTAGATACAGAAAAAGCATTTGACAAAATCCAACACCCCTTCAAGATAGAAACAATCAGTAAACTCAGAAGTGAGCTTCCTTAGCCCGTTAAATCTGCAAAGAGCCCATACCATCATACCTAAAAAAACTGAAAGCTTCCCCCATTGCAATCAGAAACAAGACAAGTATGTATGCTCTTGCCACTTCTATTCAGCTTAGTACTGGAGATTCTGGCTAGGGCAGTTATGCAAGAAAAAGAAATTAAAGGCATCTAGAATAGGAAGGAAGAAGTAAAGCTATTTCTATTTATAGATGTCATCTTGTATGTAGAAAAACCTGGGGATTCCACTAAAAAAAACTAGTAAACGAGTTTAAAACTTTCAGAATACAAGTTTGATACTCAAAAGTCAGTAGCAATCAAAAAACCAAAAATGACATTTAAAAAACAATTTTATTTACAATAGCATCAAAAAGAATACAATACCTAGGAATAAATTTAACAAAGAAGCATAAAACTTATACTCTGAAAATTACAAAATATCATTGAAAGAAGTTAAAGAAGACCTAAATAAATATAAAGACATCCTATGTCCTTGAATCAGAAGATTAACATTGTTAAAATAGCAATACTCCCCATCTTGATCTACAGATTAGTCATAGATTCAATGCAATTCCTATTAAAAATTCCAGCTGATTTCTTTACAGAAATGGACTAACTTATCCTAAAATTTATCTAGAAATGCAAGGGGCCCAGCATGGTGAAGACGATCTTGAAAAAGAACTAAAGAGAACTCACACATCTTGATTTGAAACTTACTACACAACTTCAATAATTAAGACACTGTGCTACTGACCTAAAGATAGACACAGATCAATGGAATATAACTGAGAGTTCAGAAATAAATCCTGGTGCATATGAGCAATTGATTTTCAATGGGTACCAAGACCATTCAGTGGGGGAAACAGTAGTCTTTTTAACAAATGTTGCTGAGACAATTAGATATCCACATGCAAAAGAATGACGTTAGGTACCCTATATCACATAATACACTAAAATTAACTCAAAGGATCAGACACCTAAAGTTAGAGCTAAACCTATAAAAGAAGAAAACCTTAGAAGAAACCATAGGATAAATTTTCATGATCTTGGATTTTGACAGTGGTTTCATAGACATAACATCTAAAGAAACAGCAACCAAATTAGTCATAATGGGACTTCATCAAGATCAAAATGTTTTGTGCTTCAAAAAACACCATCAAGAAAATGAATGTTCACGGAATGGAATTCCGGAATGGATTGTTTGGTGGGGGGCATTTTTTGCAAACCATGTATTTAATAAAGGATTTGTATCTAGGATGTATAAGAACTCCTGTAACTCAGTAGTTTTTAAAAAACCCATTTCAAAATATGGATGAAAGATCTGAATAAACGTTTCTCCAAAGAAGATATGCAATTAATAAGCACATGAAAAGATGGTCAACATCATTGGCCATTAGGGAAGTGCAAATCAAAACCACGACAACATACCACTTCATACTCACTAGGATGGTTATCATTAAAAGATGGGTAATAAGTGTTGTCAGAAATATGGAGAAATTGGAGCTCTCATTCACTGTTAGTTGGCATGTAAAATAGTGCAGCCACTTTGGAAACAGTCTTCTGGTTCCTCAGAAGGTTAAATATACAGTTATCATATGACCAGAAATTTTACTCCTAGGTGTATATACTCAAGAAAAGAAATGAAAATGTTTGCACAAAAACTTTTTCACAAATGTTCATTGCAGCATATTCATAATAGCCAAAATATAGAAACAGTCCAAATGTCCATCAGCTGATTAATGAATAAGCAGAATGTGGTATATTAACACAATAGGATATTCAGCAATTAAAAAATGAAATATTGATGCATGCTGCAACATGAATAAATCTTGAAAACATTGTGCTAGGTAAAAGGAGCAATCATAAAAGGTCACATATTATATAAGTTCTTTTATGTGAAGTGTCCTAAATAGGCAATTCCGTAGAAACAGAAAGTAGTTTGGTGGATGCCTGGAGCTGAGGGGTTTGCTGGGAAATACAGAGTGACTGCTAATGAGTACGAGGGTTGTTTTTTTTTTTTTTTTTTTGTAGGGATGATGAAGATATTCTAGAATTGTTGTAATGGCTGTACAACTCTCTGAATATGCTAAAAACCACTGAGTTGTGGTTAATTAAATGGATGAACTGCATGGTATGTGAATTGTATCTTAAAGCTGTTAAACAAAATTAGTGAGTGAGCATCCCCCCAGAAAGCAGAGTGCAGTGCAGACACACAGGAAGAGTGGTGACCACTCCAGTCAGTTTGGCGGAGCTGAAAAGACTTAGAGGGAAGCGCAGGCTTCTTGAGGTAGTTTTCCCATCCTCATCCTTGAGATTGACCTTATTGCCAAGCTCTGACCATTACTTTGGAGACTTTCTTTCTTGAAAGTATTTATTCTAGAGAGTTTGTCAGGCCTGTACAAGCAGGCAACCAGAAGTTGGCAGCAACATGAGGAAGAGCCGAGCTGCCTGTCTGTCTTGTATTCTCACAAATGTTCATTTCTGAGGAGGGCTTGTGTGCCACACACTGCGCCTGCTCCTTCCATGGACATCTGCTCCCTGGAGCCCCATGGGCTGAGTGTAGAGGATGCCAGGTGTGCAAGGTCATACAGTAAGTACACAGCAGAGGCAGAGTTCTGGATGTAGTTCTTCAGGTTTATTCTACATATCAGATGACTCTTAACTCTTCTGGGAGCTGGGCCAAAGAGTCCCCACATGGAAATCAAATAATTATGGTTTTTCTCCCAAGGTGCCAGAAAATATGTGAATACATAGAATCTTCTTAATTAGATTTCCTCTGGTAAATTTTTTCTTTTTGCCCACTGTCACTTTAGTTGCCATTAAGAGCTTGTGGATTGAAAAGAAAACAAAGTAGCAAGAAGAAAACTCAATTTAGTTAGCAGAAGAACTCAAGTTTTTACTTCTGTGTTACATGTCTGTTGCTTACATGTGCCAGGCAATGTTCTTAACAGCTTTAATGTTTTTCTCTAATCCTCGCAACGTTAAGAGATAGGTATAGTTGTCATCATTGCTGTTTTACAGATGAGGATGAGTACTGAAGCACAGAGAAGTCACCTAATTTACCCAAAGTTGCCACCCAGCTATTGAATGGAGTACAAACCCAGAAGTCTGGCTTCAGGATGTGTTCTCTTAACTACTGTGCCACACTAGCGATTTGGTTCTTCTGCCAAGTCTTAATTTCAGAGCCCCCCATCTTCTTAACTCTGCTCTTCCACCTGCCTAAGCGTAAATTCTACTATGGACTGCATGACCCATGGAGATTATTTTGTTAACTGGGTAGTAGAGCTAAGTGAGGTGAATTACCTGAAGCTCAAAACATGCTGTCTGACACATATCGAGTGTCTCATAAATGTGATTTCTCTGCTTTTGATGTTAGCAATAACAAGATAGGGTAAAATGAAATTCTGTCAATAGATATTGTATCTGCATCACTAAATATCTACTATGATACCCAATCAGTTTTAGAAAGTTGAACCTTAGGAAAGATAGTTCGTCTTTGAAAAATGGGGAAAATCCTTCAAAAAGTATCCTTTTCAGACTTTCCACAGTGTTCCCTCATGAAATCTAGGCAGAAGAACCAAATAATGAGAGTCACTTGTGACTTGCAGAGTGCTACACAATGTGCTGTCAGACATCTGCCCGGGCACTTTTTTTTTCTTGAGTTGGAGTCTTACTCTGTTGCCCAGATTGGAGTGCAGTGGCCGCTCCCAGCCACTGCAGCCTCGACCTACTAGGCTCTGGCGATCCTTCCGCCTTGGCCTTCCAAGTAGCTGGAACTACAGGTGCGTGCTACCACGCCCGGCTAATTTTTGACTTATTGTAGAGATGAGGTCTCTCCAAGTTGCCGAGGCGGGTCTCGAACCCGCGGACTCAGGCAATCCACTCACCTCAGCCTCCCAAGGCGCCGGGATTACAGGCTGAGCCATCGAGCCCGGCATGCCCGGGCACTTTCTGAGGGGTCTGGTTAGTGACAGGAGAAAGGAATAAATGGGGAGGGGATGGATTATGTGACTGCATTGACTCTGTTAGAATATTTTTAACTTTATGGCAAAATTGATAAAAAAGAATAGAACTGCAGCCTCTATTTTTCTACGTTTCCTGTTTTTTTTTTTTTTTTTGAGTTGGAGTCTCACTTTGTCATCCAGACTGGAATGCAGCAGCCGCTTCCAGCCACCACAGCCTCTACCTACTGGGCTCCGGCGATCCTTCCGCCTCAGTCTTCCGAGTAGCCAGAATTACAGGCATGCGCTACCACACCTGGCTGATTTTTGATTCATTATAGAGATGAGGTCTCGCCAAGTTGCCCAGGCGGGTCTCGAACCCGCGGGCTTAGGCAGTTCACTCACCTCAGTCTCCCAAAGTGCTGGGATTACAGGCTGAGCCACCGAGCCCGGCTATTTTTCTGCGTTTCTAAGATTGCCTGGATCCTGGGAATTTGGAGGGAGTTTTGCGGCTTATAAAGTCTCTGTTGTGGGCTCAGGGCCCAGTCTAAGGCTCTGTTATCTCAAGTCTGTTCAGAACAGGCTTGAGGGGCAGAAACGTGTTTTCTCACAAGCCATGACTAACTCCTTTGTCCCGGTGGCTGTTTCAGCCTCCATTGTGTTCTCTCCTCTAGCCGCTCCTGAGGAGAATGGCCTGCCTCACATGTCAGCTAGGACCCAGCTGCCCCAGTCAATGAAGATTATGCATGAGATCATGTACAAACTGGAAGTGCTCTATGTCCTCTGTGTGCTGCTGATGGGGCGTCAGCGAAACCAGGTGGGCTCCTCTCCAACATGTCAGATCAGGGAAGCCAGGAGCAAATGCTGCCTGAGAGCTTGTGGTGTGCCAGTGCTCCACTGTGCTTTCCCTCACAATGGCTTACTCTAGCCTGGCAAAGCTTAGGAGTTGTTTTCCTCCATTCTGTTCTACACATAAGGAAACCAAGCTGGTTCCAGAGCTCCAAGTCTTCCCTTTACCTCGCTATGGGCAGCATTTCCAGACAGCATTGGTGCGCAGGGTAGGAGCCGGCAGCTTGCCTCAGGAACATGAAGACTAAAGGGTGGGTGACTGGCAAGACACCCTGTAGATGTGTCAGAGGAGTTGCCAATCTGATGCAGGCTCAGGGTGGGGCAGAGCCCAGAGCTGTATCCACTTCAAAAGAAATCCTGGACAAGTAGAGGGGCTTCAGGAGTGCTGGAGTTCCCTGAACCTTGAAGCAGCCATTTCACTTAGCCCGTAGTTTAATATCATGCAGCTAATACTGGCCAGAGGCTGTGATTTCTGTATCCAAAGAAGAGGTCTGTTGGAGTAGAGGTTGTATGAATGTTTTTGGCAAGTTCTGGTCTCCTAAGATAAATGCATGCCTTTGATGGGGCAGATCAGGGTACCTGAATTAGGTGTCGTTTCTGCCATTGACCGTGCTTAGACTGGTCTTGCTGAACTTCTCCTCCCCCTTATAAAATGGCTATAATTGAGCACTGGTGCTGGGCTCAGAGTTTTACGTATATTTTCTGACTTTATCCTTACAGCAACCTTGAGAAAGAATAATAATAGCTTTGTTTTATGTTATGTAAAAAAATTTCAATAGGTAAATAATTCCCATAATTCTATTTTAAAATATATATATTAGTGTCAATGAAGCGTCTCTGCTCTCTGATCCTTGACATTCTGGTTCTTCCATGAAGCATCTATTTTTTTTTTTTTTTTTTTTTACCAGTTACTAGTATATTCTTCTAGACACATTTTGTGCTTATAAAAGCAACTAATAGTTCTCTTTTTTTTTTGAGTTGGAGTCTCACTCTGTCACCCAGGCTAGAGTGCAGTGGCACACTCATGGCCATCCCAGCATCCACCTGCTGAGCTCTAGCAGTCCTTCCGCCTCAATCTTCCAAGTAGCCAAAACTACAGGAGCACTCTACTGCATCCAGCTAATTTTTTTATTTGTTGTAGAGACGAGGTCTCGCTGTGTTGTCCAGTCTGGTCTTGAACCCACGGGCTCAGGCAATCCTCTCGCCTTGGCCTCCCAAAGGGTCCTCTTTTTTTTTTTTTTTTTTTTAAACACAATAATGTAGCATCCCATACCTTCTTTATTAATAATTATGTCTTAGTGTTTGTTCGATTGACTGCATGTAAAAGACCTTACTACCGGTTGAGTGGATATACCATAATTTATTTAATTAATCCCCATTTGATAGAAGTATAGGTAATGTCTATTTTTTGGTACTACAAATAATGCTGCTATTTAGTATTGTAAATATATGTTATTTAGTATTTATATGAATCTGTCTGAGAATAAGTTCCTGCAAGTAGAATTGCTGGTCAAAGGGAATGTGGGTGCTTAGTTTTTAGAGATACTTTCAAACCATTCTTTCTGTCAGTTAGTACCAATATGCCCTCTCACCAGCAGTGTGTGAATGTGCCTGATGCCCAAGTCACCAGCACAACATTATACAACTTATTCATCTTTGCTGGTCTGAAAAAGTGAAAACTCAACTGGGATTTGAATTTCTCTTAATATCATAAGTGAAGTTGAACATCTTTCATATATTTAAGAACCTTTTCTATTTTCTCGTCTATATCCTTTGTTCATTTTTTTTCCTATAGGATTGATCTTTTTGTTTAAGAAATTTGTAGTACTACTTATAGAGAAAATTAGTTCTTTGACTATGGCATGAGTTGCCAATGTATGTTCTCCATTTGTCATATTTGACTTGTGACTTTGTGTGTTGTGAGTTTTGCCATGCAGAATTTTTAAAGGTTTGTGTGGTTAAATCAGTCTTATTTTTTGCTTTTTAGGTTTACTGTAATCCCGTAGAAAGACTTTCTCAACTCTTAGATTTTTTTTTTTTTTTTTTAATTGGAGTCTCACTCCATCACCCAGGCTGGAGTGCAGTGGTTTGCTCACGGCCACCCCAGAGTCAGTCTGCTGGGCTCCAGCGATCCTTCCGTCTCAGCCTTCCAAGTAGCCGGAACTACAGGCACGCATTACCACTCCTGGCTAATTTTTTATTTGTTGTAGAGATGAGGTCTCACTAAGTTACCGGGGCTGGTCTTGAACTGCTCAAGCAGTCCACTCACCTCAGCCTCCCAAAGTGCTGGAATTACAGGCTGAACTACTGAGCCCGACCAGATCTTTTTTTTTTTTTAAAGTCTTCACATACATTTTTATAGATGTTGGAGTTTTATTTTTAGATAATCGTATCTTGCTTCCAGTTGAAATTTATCCCCATGTAAAACATGAGGGTATTTCCATGTTAATGAGAGACAATCCTTAAGGAACTTGACTAAGATTACAGAGTTAAGATTACAAAAACAAGCACCTGGTGGAGTTAGAGTGAGACTCAGAGTGATCTGAATCCAAAACTCATGGTCCTAAGATAGGCCCTAACGTACATTATGACTTGGAGGATTATTGTGAGCATTGATGTGCAAAGTTAAAAAGGATATTTGTGTGTAGTGGGAGGTGAGGCATGGATGGATGTTTTCTTTAAGCCTCAGCATTCCATACTAACTGTGGCTTTCTTCATCCTTAAGATCGTTATTGCACATGTGGAGCATGAGGCTTTGCTAGATCTTCCAAGCACATTTGTCTTAATACTTTTCTCTTCCTAACTCATCCAGGTTCACAGAATGATTGCAGAGTTCAAACTGATCCCCGGACTCAATAATTTGTTTGATAAGCTGATTTGGAGGAAGCATTCGGCAACTGCCCTTGTCCTCCATGGTCACAGCCAGAACTGTGACTGTAGCCCGGTGAGCAAGGGACCCTGGGAACACTTGGGGCTTTACTAGCTAGGAATAGTTGTTTTAGGATCTTCTGCTGACTGCACTTTTAACTGCTTGTTCTTTGGGAGTAGAGCAGAAACTAAAAGTCTTATTTTATAATCCCATAATCCGAAGCTACCATGGGGGAACACTTGAGCTAGCCCCTCTACCTACGCAGAATACCTTTGAAGGTATCCCTGTCTGAGGCCCTCCAGCCAGCTTTCCTTTGTACACCTCTAGGATGGGGGTCTTATTTCCCTTCAGGCAGGGCTGCCCCTTCCATGAGCTAGCACAAGTTTTTCCTTGTTTGGTGTTCTATCCCACTGTAAATTACATCCACAGATACCAAGTTAGCCTTCTGGAACCACAAGACTACTGAAGGTCTGCGTCAAAAAAAGGCTTTGGAATCCTTTGGTTTTCTGAGACCAGGACCTCACTTCTACCTTGCATCTCTCACAGAGTCCTAGAGAGAGCACTGAACTGGGTGTCAGAGGCCTTTGTACCACTCAGCTTGTTGGGAGAGTTTGAATGAGTCACTGAATCTCTGAGCCTCTGTTTTCTTGCAAAAGGAAGATAATACTCCTGTTACTGCGGGCCTCCTAGTCTAGCTGGAGGCCCACCCACCAGCACTAGAGGGAAAGTGCTCTGGGAGCTTTAAGTGCCACACAACGGTCCAGGCTCAATGCCTTGGAGTCCCTAATCTCTGCACTGCACCCTGGGGATTTTCCTCAGTGCCTTGTCTTCCACATTTCTATTTTTCTCTTTGGCCTTGTCAGATTTGGCTTTGCTATCCATTTTATTTTTTTTTGTTTTTGTTTTTGTTTTTTGAGTTGGTGTCTCACTCTGTCGCCCAGACTGGAGTGCAGTGGCCGCTCCCGGCCACCGCAGCCTCGACCTGCTGGGCTCCGGCGATCCTTCCGCCTCAGCCTTCCGAGTAACTGGAACTACGGGCATGCGCTACCATGCCCGGCTGATTTTTTGATTTATTGTAGAGATGAGGTCTCGCTGCCCAGGCGGGTCTCGAACCCGTGGGCTCAGGCCATCCACTCACCTCAGCCTCCCAAAGGCGCAGGATTACAGGCTGAGCCACCGAGCCCGGCTCCATTTTAGTTTTTAATATCAGGTGAATATATTGTGTATTTCTAGACATTCTGTCTTGCTCTGTTCATGTTGATGAAACTAGTCATCATGTAGATATCTTTCTTCTGTTGCATGGTTATCTCTAATCATTGGTAACATACTTTCTTATGGTCTCTTTCAGTTGTTCAAGGGGTATTAATTCTTGTGTGTGGGTTTTCAGACACTCAGAATGGAATGTTGCTTTGTGGTTTGCAGTGTTTATGGAGAGGCCGCTTTCAGTGGGGCTAATTTTCTGTGAGTGCTTGTGTAGTGTTGGCCCCAGAGACATTTCTGCTGGGCACTTTTGCCTTTGCTGCCTGCCAGGTTCTTCAGGGATACAACTGTCCCAGAGTTAATTTCCATGTTTAATGTCTTGGCCCTGCCACCCTAGTGGTGTGAGCTCCCACTTTCTGCTGTTCCTTGGATGCTCCCTCCAACTGTCAGCAGCACCCCAGCAGAGCCAGGCTTCTTTGCTAGTTCCTAGGGCCAGTATGTCGGGTCTTTCTAACTAGCCCATCTTACCAAATGCATGTGCTCCTCAGGCTTTACAGAGGCCTGAGGCTCTGTGTGGTCCCTGCAGGGTATTAAAACTCAAGCCCTGGTGTGACCAGGTCTCATTTTCACTTCTCCGCATACCCACAACTGCCGAGCATTGGCTCCTGGGTTCACTGCTCTGAATTCATTTCTGATTCCTACAGACTTCCCTTTCATTCTTATGAACTTAACCTCATTTTTGTAACTATTTTTTATTCAACATGCTGGGATGTTTTTAACAGGAAGGGTCTGCATTAGCTTAATCTGCTGTTGGCCTGATACGGGAATTAGCACATGGTTTTCTCACCAAAGTCCTCAGGGTTGCTTGAGGACAGAGGCTCAGAGAAGTAGGCTTTTACCAGAGTGTTGCCTTGTTTTATTTTGGAATGTTGTGACTGTGGTTTTAACATTGAGGATTCACATGTATTTTAGGACATCACCCTGAAGATACAGTTTTTGAGGCTTCTCCAGAGCTTCAGCGACCACCATGAGTAAGTATGAGCACATCCCTTCAAGGAGAGTTGTTGGACTGTCTGGAGGCCTCTCTCCCCTTGAATGTCACTGACCATAGCTCAGGAGAAGGACCTGGAGCTGGTAAAGGCCCACTGTCCCCTCAGTGCTAGCAAGCGTGGCCATACTTCCAAGACACTACAATAAGAGCTGCCATCTGTCCAGCCCTTCCTTTATGGCAGACACTACTCTGAGCTGTCCTCTAGCTCTCACAGCCACCCCAAGAAGTGAGTATGGAAGTTGTTGGGGAGAGGATTATTGCCCTTGAAGTCAATGCATCTCTCAACTTACTGTTCCTCTGAAGCAGGAATGAGCAGCTTGGCTATTCTCAGGGACCTCCAGGAGCCTCAGACCAGCAAAGCTGGCTGAGTACTTATTACCTCCTCAAGAAGATGTACTCTCTCCCATTTTTCTAGAAACACATTCTCCCTCTCTTTTTATTTCTTAGCCTTTGATAGAGAGTGTACAGGAAATGGTTCTCTGCTGGAAGAAAAACAGAACAGGGGAGGGGTCACTGGCAGCAGGTCCTTGACTTTGGCCCTGGGGAGATGATGTGGGGGGACCTTGCTGAACTCAGACAGCAGGCCACTGCTGCTCGGCTCCGCCCAGCTGTGGATGTACAGGAGACCGGGCCTACTACTGTGTAGCTTCTGATTCCTCCCTCCCACCTCCCCACCCAGGAAAGCCAGAAATTAAGACTTATGTGAAAGGTCCTGATTTTTTCACGTTGGTTTAAATTCTTTTGAATCATTATATAAGCAAACAGGACATGCCTGGGGAGAAATGTGGCCACAGGGGCCTCTACTTTGCAACTTCTTCTCTGTCAAGCATGACCATCCTCTTTGAGAGGCTCTCTGGCTGAAGGCTATAGAAAGGCTCTGGGAAGTATGTGCACCCTCTGAAAAATGACATCAATAGGTTATGGAAGTATGCTTTATTTTTCTGAGGAAATAGGTCCCAAGCTTTTGTCAGATTCTTGAATTTGAGCATGCCTGTGGACCAAGTTCTGGGGATATAGTGATGAATGAAACAAGCCATGGTCTACTCTCACCAAGGGCACAGGAGAACTTCAGAAGGAAGGCAGTTCATTAGAGGGCTGCACCATTGAGTGCATGGTGACAGACAGAGATAGTGTTTGGGAGGAAAGGAGTACGGACTGTGAGAAGACGTTTGACAGGGTTCAGAACTCAGAAACTCTTCCTTGCAGATATGTCTTGTCATCTGAGACCCAGGGGGTCAGGTGGTCGTAGTAAATTGGGTGAACAGGCCTATGAGAAGGTGAATGTTCTAGCCAGAAGTCCTGGCAGAAGCCCCTGAACAAGGGAAATGAGTGTGACCAGATGGTGAGAGTGATGTGAGCTTGGCTCAGGGTCATTCACAGGCCTGGATTTTATATATAGATGGCCCCCAACTTCTCATGATTTGATTTACGGTTTTTTTTAACTTTATGATGGCACAAAAGTAGAATTTTGAATTTCTGCCTTTTTCTGAGCTAGTGGTATGCGGTACGACACTCTCTTGCAATGCTGGACAGTGAGCTGAAGCTCCCAGTCAACCACATAGCTAAACATCCAATACTCTACAGTGTACCTCCATGTGATTCTGCCCAACTGTAGGCTAATTTAAGTGTTGCAAGCACTTGGAGGTAGGCTAGGCTAAGCTCTGATGTTTGGTAGGTTAGATGTATTAAGTGCTATTTTCATCTTGCAATATTTTCAAATTATGGTGGATTTATTGGCTATAACCCCCACCTAAGTTGAGGAGCATCTGTATTCTAAAAGCAGTGGGAAGTTGTGGAGGCATTTTCAGCAGGAGGGACAGGATCAGAGTCCTGTTTCTGAAGGTCACTCTGGCACTGTGTGAAGACTCGTTTTCTGTGAGAGCTGGAGACCTGGGAATATGGGGCCCAACAATGACAGGCCAGATGGCAAGGAGGGGAGGGAGTGTCACAGCTGACCAGGCCTCTGCTTGGTGACTGTGGTAGCCATTCGGACTGGTGCAGCAGGAGGACCAGGCTGAGTAGAATGATGAGTGTGACTGGCTATGTTGAGGTGCGGATGCCTTTGAGAGAGCAAATAGAAATGTTGGCAAAGAGAAAGCTCTTGTTAGTGAATATGGCAGGCAGGGAGGTGGAACTTGGCCAGGGAGAGATTCTGTAGCCTGGGAGCCCAGGGTTTCCTCCTGTGAATGGTGACTCAAGTCAAAGGTATGGGAAAAGGTATCTGGTAGATTTTCAGTTTGTCTCTCTACAAGGGGAACTCAAAAAAAAAACCTGGAATTTATTTGTAAGCAATTGTGTGTTTATTCTTACATGTTTAAACTTCGGTCACCTTCAAAATATTTTCCATTTGATGCAGTACACCTATCAAGACACTTTTTCCACTGCTCAAAATAGTTTTTGAACATGTCGGTTTTGATGCCTTTTGGTGCTTCTGCTATTTTTTGTTTCACTTCTTCCATACCAGCAAAACGTTTCCCTTTGAGGACTTTTTTCATCCAGGGAACCAAAAAAAATGTCGCTTGTTGTGAGATAGGGAACAGGGAAAGTAGGGCACGGGGGTCATGCTGTTTTAGGCCAAAAACTGCTGAACACTCAGCACAGTATGGGCGTGTGTGCTTGTAAATCATAGATCATGAAATGTGTAAATGCACTGAAAGAATCTCAAAAAAAAAAAAAAAAAATGCACTGAAACCAAACGCAGCCTCTCACAACGATGCTAGCCAGTACACTGATGCCGATGGGTTCCTAGAACACTTACCTAGCGGGAGAAAGCCTGTACTACAAAGGGGCACATCCTCCAAAAGACAGTTCTGGTTTTTTGGGGGTCCCTTGTACATAAAAAATGAGCAGAGACTCTGCTCTGTTCCAGTGCTGACCCGGCAGCCCCAAATCGTGCCCTTCTCCTCCTCCAACCCATTTGTTTCAGGAACAAGTACCTACTACTCAACAACCAGGAGCTGAACGAACTCAGTGCCATCTCTCTCAAGGCCAACATCCCCGAGGTGGAAGCCGTCCTCAACACTGACCGGTGAGTATGGTGTGTGCAGCTTTGGCCCACAATGCACCCTGGCTGCCCACATGCCCTGGGCCTCACAGGTGGGCACACACAGGTGTGCACACCTGTCCTTTCTCACTCACATGTCATTAAGATGTTCTGAGTGCCAGGCTTTATACTCAGTACTTACTTGGAGGCACAAGTACTTACTTGCCTGAGGCCCAGCTGGAACCCATCGCAGGCAGGGAGTACCCTGCGTCCTACCCTGCTGGCACAGACTCTGCCTGGTCCTGCAGACTCTGTCATGACCTGTTTCAAACCCACTTTTGGTATAAACAGCCCATCCTCTGGCAGTTGTAAGCCCTGTCTGACTCTGGGTGTGTTTCTGGTCTCTGGCCACTTGTCATTGAGTCTTAGAAGGGAAAACTGACCTGAGGTATGATGGAAAGGCCCTTGGCTGTTCGCATCTGTGACTGCAGAAGTCTCAGGGGGTCTGGACCCAGATAGAGCAGGAAGGCATCCTGTAGATTTAGAAATGTCCCCATTGTTTTTCACCCACCCAAGCCAGCAGGGTGACCAGCCCCAAGACTCCCATCAGCCCCTCAGATCTGCCCCACTGTCCCTGTCTTTTTTATTTCAGGAGTCTGGTGTGTGATGGGAAGAGGGGCTTACTAACTCGCCTCCTGCAAGTCATGAAGAAGGAGCCTGCCGAGTCATCTTTCAGGTGGGTCTGGAGACAGGAACCTGGCGATTCTGAGGGGCCCTGGAGCTGGGCGGTTCCCCAGTAGTTAGAAATACCTCCTTTAATCACCAGTATCTGCCCCGAGACGGTTTGGGGAGGTAGTTTGCCTGTTGTCCTGCTCTTGTGTTGACTCGGCAGGTATGTTTGAGCTTCTGCTGTGTCCCAGCAAGACCTGAGCATTCACCAAGCACCTATTCTGTGCTGACCTGCACAGGTAGAAGAGAACTAGGATACAGGCTCTGCCCACATGGAATTTTCTGGGCTTGTGGGAAACAAATGTGAAGAAAAACCTGTTTCAATACAGAGTGGAAAGGAATAGAGCCAGAATTAGCCCCAGGAGCTATGGAAACAAAGGAAAGCCCCTTCCCCTCCTGGGAGATGGTATGGTAGGCATGGACAGGGAGGCCTTAGGCCCTTAGGCATGCCATCTGAGAGTTAAAGATCTGAGGCTTTGAACAGGAGGAATTCCATCAGGGCTGGGTATAAGCTGTCAGGAGACTTTATGTGCACATGGGCCTTTGTCACTCTAGCCTGCCTTGTGTCAACTCCCTGACATGGATTCCAGCCTTGCCCTCTGGGCACTCAGTCAGCATCAGCCATCTCTTCTCTAGGCTAGCCCGTCACATATGAGATCAGTGGCCTGTCCTCACACATCCATCAACTTCCTTCACACATGCCTGGCCCCTCAATTCCTTGTCCTCCCATTGAAGCCTAGATTGAGACTCACTGAAATCAGTCCTTTGGTTCACGATAGCCGCCTCTGTGACACCCCTTTCAAACACGCCCAAATAGTTCCCACTGAGCTGTCAACTCCATGAGGAAGGGAATTCTTATGCTCACTACTGTGTTCCCAGGCCTAGGATGAGGCCTAATGCTTGGTAGATGTTCAGTAAATGTCTTGAACAAATGAAAAGGCAACAAACGTTCTCTAGCCCCTTGGGGAATCGAACATGGGCCAGAAGAGGGCAGCCTTAGCCACCTGGGCCAGGAGTCAACATTTGGGTCGCAGGTTTTGGCAAGCCCGGGCTGTGGAGAGTTTCCTCCGAGGGACCACCTCCTATGCAGACCAGATGTTCCTGCTGAAGCGAGGCCTTCTGGAGGTATGGCCTGGAGGAGCCAGGTGTTGGGTGTTCATCCCCCCCCCCCCAGCCCATGCACTACTGTCCTGTCCTGAGCCCTAAACAGTTTGTCAGGAGCAGGCCAAACCTCGTGGTACTTAGAGGCCAGTAGAGACTGCCCTAGTGTTTACCCTGTGTTTGCAGCTGTGGGTTCCCTGTGGGTGCTCAGGGTATAAGGGATTTACGAGGCGGCTGTGCAGGAAGGTAAGAGTTTAGTTATCCAGCAAGGCCTTTTGACCCTGAGGATATTTCGATGGTGACTAAAAGTTAATTTTCTTTTATTCATTAATGGCCTTCAGAAAAAGCAAAGTTTTAAAAAGAGGGAGGGCAAAATGGCCAAAGTTGTCATCGGTTTTTTAAAAAAAAGTTGAGATAGACAAGAAACTGACCCATGAATGTTGTAAAACTCCATATGGAAAAAAAATTGATTCACATCAATGTAATGTCAAGAAAATGGAAAATATTGGAAACAGTTTAGCTGTCGTAGAAAACTTTATTGAGGATTTAAATTGGCTTTATGTTCCCATTAAAAACTCGGTGCATTTGGTGTCGACTTTATTTAAACAATTTCATTAATAAACACAAAAACAAACCATAGGGTCAAAATGTGTCATTTACCCTTAAACTCTTGTCCTTCATTTGCTTGAATGGCCTCAGTGTTTGAACAGTGGCCATTATAAGACCTGGTGACGGCTCCCCTCGCCTGGGAGCTGGAGGGCTCTGGCTATCTTGGTGACCACAGAGCAGGTCAGTGGCTTCAGCTGTGAACCCTGAGCAAATGAGACAGATTGTGCTGCATCCCCAGCCTGCTCCCCCACCTGGTCAGGTCTGTCAGACCGGGCCCTGTCCTTAGAGCCAGCAGCATCTTCGGACAAGAGTCTAGACAGGGTTGCAGGCAACAGCCGACCGAAATGCTTGCTTGGAACAAACGTGTAGTCTGAGCTCCATGCCAGGCCTCGGCGGGAGGCAGGCGGGGGGCAGCCATGTTCACATCTTCACCCTGTCCCCTCCTCACTCCCAGCACATCCTGTACTGCATTGTGGACAGCGAGTGCAAGTCGCGGGATGTGCTCCAGAGTTACTTCGATCTCCTGGGGGAGCTGATGAAATTCAACATTGATGCATTCAGGAGGTTCAGTAAATACATCAATAATGATACAAAGGTAAAGTCAGCCCAGAGCTCCATAGTGTATGCGGGATTGTCCAAAAAATTATCTTGGAACCCGGTCTGCCTGTCTTCAGGTGTAGGCTTTAAATCGGAGAATCCCGGGGAGTCAGTGGTCAGTCTTTAGCAAACATGCATTAGAACGTACTCTGTGTTGGGCACTGTGCTAAATCCTGGCAATACAAGGATGAAACCCTGTGGGCTGCTTGTGGGCAGGGGTGAGAATGGGATATGCAGCTGCTGTGATGCAACATGGACAGTGCTGTAGTGGGAGCCCCTGGAGGGAGGGACTAGGCCTGGTTGTTAGGCTCATAGGAGTGTGTATGACCAAAGTCCATCCCAGACAAATTGAAGAAAAAATTGAGGAGTCTAGCACTCTTCAGTGTAAAATCATTGTACAGAGTGTTGGAAGATCTAGGCTGAGCTCCTGGTTGTGCTGCTTAGTATCTGAGTGGTGAGGGCAGGTCACTAAGTTTGTCTGAGCCTGCATCTTCCTGTGTGGAGCAGAGGAGCTAGGGGAGATCGCTGATGCCCCTTAGAATGACTGTCCACCCTAGGCCATGGTCAACTCCCCCTGCAGCCCACTGCCCCCACGAGCTGTGTCTCTGCTGCAGTTCCAGGTGTTCATGAAGCAGATCAACAGCTCTCTGGTAGACTCCAACATGCTGGTGCGTTGCGTCACTTTGTCACTGGACCGATTTGAAAACCAGGTGGACGTGAAAGGTACGAAAAAATCAGGTTGCCAAGGCTTGTCAGTACAGTGTGACAGTGCTGGTATCAGATGTACAGCCTCCAGCAGGAGGCAAGAATAACTGAGGGAGCTGGGCCAGACACCTTGTAGCTGGCCTCAAGATGGCAGCTCTCTGGTGGATTGCTTTGCTGCTTTGACTTCTGTTGTTCATGCTTCCTTTCATGAGTAGGTACAACATTTGAATGAAGGAAGAAACCATTGCTGCCAGCAGAATGCAAAGACAAACCAGAAAAACGCCTTCCTTTTCTGGGTTGGGATTGCCTGAGATGAGTTGGACCCTTCCTCCTCAGTCCCCCCATGCCATGTGTTGCGGGTGCCCTTTGCATGGTGGGGGTGGCTGAACCCACCCAGACTTGCTCACAAACTTCCATGTATATATATGCACGTGTCCTTTATTTCTTAAGAGAGGGTCTATGGCATCAGCAGATTTTCACAAGGGTTTGTGACTGCCCTTCCCCTCCCTCCAAAAAAATTCACTTGTCTTCTGTCACAGTTGCTGTCATTGGTAGCACCAAGTGTCCTGGTCATTCAGTCATTTGCCTCCTTTTTCTGTCCCGAAAGGTCTGTTTAAGGGGCAGAGCCTCACAGATTTTGGTACCTTTCTCTGTTGTCCCGCCTCCTGTTAGTGTGGAAAGCAGCTTGCTCCAACACGAGTGGAAGGAGCAGACCTGTGCACACTGAGGTCCTGACAGTGGGCCTGACTAGCCTGAGAGCTGATGTGGAAACCAGTCACATCAGGAGTTCTGAAAGATGATTCAGACTGTCCTTGCTTTCTTAATTTAGTGTCTGACCCATCTTCCTGATAAAGAAATTGTCCTGTGGGTGATACAGAGGAGCAAGAAAGGGTCTGAAGCCAGTCTGGGTGAGCTGAAGGAGCGCTGTCCTGGAGCATGGTTCTGGAGGACAGCGGGGGGGCCTCCTGGGGCACCCTGCCTAGTGGCAGAACAGCTGGAAAGTGTGATCCTGCTGCAGCCAGCTGTTGTTGTACTTGTTTTGATGGTGTGAGGCTTCCAGCTTCGGAGAATCAGGACCCAAGGAGTGCACAACTAGTGGTGTATTTGTCCTGGCCACTCGGCCTGAGCCTGCTACACTCAACTCTGCCTCCCTCCATAGTTGCTGAGGTCCTGTCCGAGTGCCGCCTGCTTACCTATGTATCCCAGGTGCCCGTACAGATGTCCTTCCTCTTCCGCCTCATCAACATCATCCATGTGCAGACACTGACCCAGGTGAGAGGCCCCAGCAGACAGGCAATAGGAAAGGTAGCTTGGAAATTGCTTCCATTGTCCTGGAGCCCAGCAACTTTCTGTCTCCCACCCTCACTCTAGAGGTGAATCTTCCAAGACCAGCTCTTCTTGGGATAGTGTCCCCGTTTTTCGGTTGGGGCTAAGGAGGGGCAGCAAGTCTAAGGTCACAGACAGACTGGCTGACTCCCAATCCAGTGCTTTTCCCCAGTGTCCATGTCCCTCACCCCTTCTGCAGTGCCAGGCTTTGGCATTCGACATGAGATTGCCTCTCAGCTCCCTCCTAGTTGTGCAGCCTTCTCTTCTCCAAGCATCACACCCATCTTTCCTAAAATGGGGGTAATACTAGTACCTCTCACAGGTGACTCTGGTTCTCTCTTGAGGCAAGGCCCTGTTCTGAGTGTGCACAGTGAACAGAACAGACCTCCTTCCCTGAGGTTCACAGGCTAGAGTAGAAGTTCTGAAAGGAGATAACTGCCCCAAAACATGCATTTAACCCTGCCTGGGGAGCCAGCCTTCCAGGAGAAGTGATGCTTGAGTCGAGGTCTAGATGGGGACAGATGTTGCTGCCATGAGAGTGGTGTTGGGGACGTAGGTGTGGGGAACAGGAGAGTACTCAGGCATCCTCCTTGCCCCAGTCCTGCCTAAGGTCTGCACAGAAGCAGTTCCATGGAGGGTCTGTGGACTCTGCCAGGCCCTACGAGGCCCAGGCATGGGACAGCTTTTCTCCCTGCCTGGTGGCTGTCCAGGTTTACCAGGGGCCACTGGGGCTACCAGGTGCAGCTAATCCCTACCGGCCTGTGGCCTTGCAGGAGAACGTCAGCTGCCTCAACACCAGCCTAGTGATCCTGATGTTGGCCCGACGGAAAGGGCAGCTGCCCTTGTACCTGCAGCTGCTGCAGCGCATGGAACACAGCAATAAGTACCCTGGCTTCCTACTCAACAACTTCCACAATTTGCTGCGTTTCTGGCAGCAGCATTACCTGCACAAGGACAAGGACAGCACTTGCCTGGAGAACGTGAGTGCCCCACCCAGTAAAGGGATCATGGGTAAGCAGCGGACATGCAAACCCAGGGTCCCTCAGAGGGGTGTCCATGGCGCGTGGTCCCTGCCTGGACCATGTGGCGGGTGGCTCTCTGTTCCCTTACCGAGGCTTTCCACGCAGGGTGCTGGGCTCGACCTGGGTCCTCCAGGCGCCTCCCAGCCCCTCCCTCTTTTCTCAGAGCTCCTGCATCAGCTTCTCATACTGGAAGGAGACAGTGTCCATCCTGCTGAACCCGGATCGCCAGTCACCCTCTGCCCTTGTTAGCTACATCGAGGAGCCCTACATGGACATAGACAGGGAATTCACTGAGGAGTGACCTTGGGCCAGGCCTTGGGAGGCTGCTGGGTCAGTGCGGGTGAGCGTGGGGTGTGATGCCACATTCTCTGCCCTGTTCCCATCCCTCCCTGCTGCTCTCTGCACCAGGTCTTCACATATAAGCTGGGTAGGAGCAATCATCATAGAAGCCCTCAGCCCTGAGTCTGAGGGCCCTGAGTCATTAGGAGCCTCAGTTCCCTCACAGTCCCTGTGATGAGGATGGGATTCCACACCCCCCTTCCTTCAGAACCCTGGGGCCCAGGCCCACCCAGAGGTAAGGGAACTTTTTGAATTGGCTCTGTCTGAGCTCCTGCACAGTCTCTTGGCTGTTGATCCTGGGGTGGGAAGGAAGATTTGGGCACCCTCCCCCATTTGCAAGCCAAGCCTCCCTTGTCCCTGGCCTTTGAACCCAAGTAAAGGCTTCTGAGCCCTGGGCAGGGGCTGAGGGTACCAGAGAATGTCGCCTGCCCTTCTTTCCTTCCTTTTCCTTTAGCTCCTCTGGTTCTGTTTGCTCACTGGCCATTGTGTTCATCCTAGGGGGTTTGGCCAGAAGTCGGGGGGAGCCTTTCCCTCCATCCTTGGGATACGGGGTTTGCCTGCCCTGCCCCTGCCCCTGCCCCTGGGGTAGGGTCTCCTGCCTGAGTCCAGACACAGGAATCTGGCTAGGAGCTCACCTTTGGCCCCTCCTTGTGTTGCCAATTTATTAACAGCAAATAAACCAATTAAATGGAGACTATTAAAGAACTTTATTTTAAATGACTCATCTGGACTGACTTTTGTCCCTGGGTCTGTGTGTTCCCCTCCTGACCCCGAAGAATAAAAAGGAAACTGGCTGCAGCGGTGGCATTTATTCAAGGTGTGCCAGGGCCTGGAGATGGCAGGAACAGTTGATGGCCTCAACTGAAGGCTGGCGGGCAAACAGCAGATGTCCCTCTTCGGAGCCCAGGGCGCAGGGCTCAGGCTGTCATTCCTTGTGCTAAGGCGAGAGGGGCAGCTGATGGAGTGGCACCTCCTGTTGTGCCCCACCACAACCCATGTGGAGGGTGGCACCCATGACATCCCTCACCTTGGGGCCCAGGGCATCCCGGGTCCGTGCCCGCAGCTTGTTGGCCTGGGTTTCCGCCATGTCTGCCCGCTCCTCTGCGTCATCCAGCTCATGCTGCGCCTTGCGATACTTGGCCAAGTTGGTGTTGGCCTGCTGTTCCTGTGGGCACACACAGAGCCTTGGTTCTCCTTCAGGAACTGAGATGCTCATTCTGTCGGGAGGGAGCTGGCTTCTCCTGGTCCTCAACTCTATTCCTACGACCGCTCTCCCTCTCTAGTGCCCCAGGCAGGAATAAGGAAGGCGGGGTGCTCCTTCCAAGACATGCCTGTTTGCAGCTCAGCCATCAGAGTCATCCCTGTCCCTGGCAAAGGGAAAGCACACGGGGGCATTCCAGGAGAGCTAGGTCTAGTCCCTTTCTGAAGCTGCTAGAAACTTCTTTTCCTGCTGGGTCTCTGCTCCTACTCGCCTGGCCCAAGCCTCTGCAGTCAGAGCTGGAGTTGGGTCAGCCCAGGAGTGCTGACCAGCACTGGGGTCCCAGGGGCTCAGACCCCACCGCACTCACCGCCTCCTCAAACTGCCGCTTGTAGCTCTTGACTTTGCTCTGCAGCTTGTCTACCAGATCCTGCATGCGAGCCAGGTTCTTCCTGTCCTCCTCGGCCTGCTCAGGCAAAGGGGACTCAGAGTTTGTTTGGACTGGGCTAGCCCTGGGGCCACCCCCAAGGGGGCCCCGTCACCCACCTGGTAGGCGAGCTCCTTGACCCGGCGCTCATGCTTGCGCACCCCCTTCAAGGCCTCAGCGTGCTTCTTCTGCTCTGCGTCAAGCTCTGCCTCCAGCTCCCGCACCTGTGGGCAGCAGGGAGTGGCCTGGTGCTAGTCCTGCCCTGGGCTGCCCACCCTGCCTGGAGAAAGGACAGGAGGGCCGCACACACCTTGGCCTCCAGCTTCTGCACCTGCTTCTTCCCACCACGAAGGGCTGCCTGTTCTGCCTCTTCAAGCCGTGCCTGGAGCTCCCGCACCGTCTGCTCCAGGGTCTTCTTCATCCGTTCCAGGTGTGCACTCGTGTCCTGCTCCTTCTTCAGCTCCTCAGCCATCATGGCGGCCTGTGGGGAAGGAGGTGGCACAGTCAGGAGGTGACCAGCCTCCGGGAGGTCCCTCTGCAGCCCTGGCCCAGCCTTACATCAGTGATGGCCTTTTTGGCCTTCTCCTCGGCTTCCCGCCTCTCCTGGGCAGCCTCCTCCACCTCCCCGCTCAGCTGAGCCACATCTGCCTCTAGCTTCTTCTTCTGGTTCAGGAGGCCTGTGTTCTGGTGGGGAGCAGAGTCTCAGAGCAGGCCCGCAGGCCTGGGCCCTGCCGTCCCCAGGGACCCCATCCTTACCTGCGAGTGCAGGAGGTTGAGGCGCTCTGTGGCCTCCAGCAGCTCCTGCTCTGCCAGCCTCCGGCTGCGCTCCCCCTGCTCCAAGGCAGCCCGCAGCTCCTCCAGCTCGGCCATGAGCAGTGCAGCTCGGCGCTCCAGGGCCTGCCCCTGCTCACGGAGCTCAGCCGCCAGCCGCTGCTCCTCGTCTCGCCCTGCCTGCTCCTCCTTGAGCTGGGCCTGCAGCAGCCGTGTGGCTGCCTGGGCCTCCGTGGCCTGGCGGGTAGCATGGCCCAGCTGCAACTCAAGGTCATTGAGGTCGCCCTCCATCTTCTTCTTGAGTCGCAGCGCCTCATTGCGGGCCCGTGTCTCTGCGTCCAGGGAGGCCTGCAAGGACTCCACAGCCCGCTGGTGGTTGCGCCTGCAGAAGGAGGGCAACATGAATGGGGAGCCTCAGCCTGCAGGAAGCAGGTGGGCCCAGGCACCACACCTGTCTTACGAATGCCCGAGGACCATAGGAGATGGAAAGCCACTTAGGGAACAAGTGAGTTTTCCCTCCCTGGTGTCAGGTCTCTCGTGACTGCCCAGGAGTATGTTCGTGGACAAGTGAGGCTCCGAGGCAGAGACACATGGGCTGACTGGCTCTGTGACCTTGGGCAAGTCCTTTGGCCTCTCTGAGGTTCACCTCTAGAATAGGGCCCACAGCCCAGGCCTCACAAAGTTATGTGGGAGGGGCAGGCTTGATGTCTGTGCAGCCTGCACGTGCAGCAGGCAGACACTGCCTCTCTTCCTCTCTCCTGCTGTGTGGAAGTGCGTGTGGGCGGAGGGACAGACACACCTCAAGTTAGCGCACTCCTCCTCTTTCTCTGCCAGCTTCCGGTCCACTTCAGCCTTGACCTGGGAGAGCTCCAGCTGGATCCGCAGAGTCTTGGTCTCCTCCAGCTCCAGGGCCCCCTGGGGATACAGCAGGCAGTGTAGGGGTGGGGGCTGTGAGCAGGTATTCAAGGAAGAGAAGGCCAGGGGAGCGGCAGGTCAGCATGCACCCCCCCCGCAGCCCCTGACCTCAGCCTCCTCTAGGGCAGCCTGGAGTTCGCTCTTCTCCCCTTCCAGTGCCTTCTTGGCTTTCTCCAGCTCCTGAATGGTTTTCCCACTGAGGCTGACCTGGTCTGTGAGGTCGCTGATCTCCTCTGCAGAGTGGACAGGACGCTGAGGAGCCAGGCCACTTCATTGGCTCCCCATCCCACGGTGTTCCCACTAGGGCCCCCCGAGTGGCCCCCACCGCAGGGCAGTTCTGTGGCCCTGGGGTGTGGCAGGTCGTACCCTGCAGGTTCTTGTTCTCACGCCTGAGCGTCTCCAGGGCTTCGAGCGCCTCCTCGTGGCTGTGCCGCAGCCGGAAGAGCTCAGTGCCCAGGCCCCGGGCCTCCCTCTGCGCCGCCTCCAGCTCCCGCTGCATCTCCTCCTCCTGTCGCCGTCGCTCCTCCAGGGCCCGCTCCAAGTGCCGCTGCTTCTTGTCCAGTGCAGCAGCTGCTGAGGTTGCCCGCTCCAGCTCCAGGGTCACATCCTCTGATTCTGTCTGCAGCCGAAGCTTGGCCTTCTCCAGGGACGAGCACTTGGCGTTAGCGGTTTCCACACCCTCTTCAGCCTCCTGCAGCCGCAGTGCCAGCTTTTTTCTAGGCCATGGGATCAGACAGGTGAGGACCGTGTAGTGAGGGAGGCCAGCAGAATGGCCCCAGCAGAACGCCCGCTCCCTGCGGGGCTCAGAGGTACAGACCAAACCTCTGCGTGATCACGGCCTGGCCAGCAAGGCACTCACTTAGCCTCCTCCAGCTCCTCGGTCCTCTGGATGGCATCCGCCTCGTACTTGCTCCTCCACTGGGCCACCTCGGCGTTGGCCTTGGACAGCAGCCGCTGCAGCTCAGCCTGGGCCTCGGCCTCCTCCTCGTGCTGCTCCCGCAGGAGGTCACAGTCGTGCCTCAAGGCCTGCACCGCATGGGCCAATGCGCTCTTGGCCTGCAGGGACACCAGTGACTTCAGCCTCAGACCAGGGGCCCCATGCCCACCTGCCCACCCCACAGCCGCCAGTGCCAGCCCACCTTGCTCTCCTCCTCCAGCTGCCGCTGCAGCTCCTCCAGGCTCTGGGCAGCCAAGGTCTTCCCACGGCTCAGCTGGCTAATCAGAGACTCCTTCTCCTCCACCAAGCGACTCAGCTCCGCTGCAGGAATGGAGCGGGCGGACAGGTCAGGCGGGTGAGGGCAGTGCCAAGGCCCCGCCCGGTGTTGCCCAGCCCGGTCCCTGGCCTCACCACTTTCAGTCTGCAGCCGCCCACGCTGGGTGCTTGCATCTGCCAGCTGCCGCTGCAGCTCTTCCACCTTGATCTTGGCCTCACTTAGCTGGTCCTCATAGGTCCGGCACAGCTTCTCTGCGCTGGCCTGGAAACCCAAGTCAGGGGTGTGAAGTCAGGACAAGTTTGTACATCAGAGAGCAGGGTCTGGGGCTGCTAGGCCTGTGCACTCATTCCTGTCCATGAACTTGCGCGCACTTGGTCTTGGGATCAGGAACAGAAAGCTAGAGGTAGACCTAGGAATCAAAGGGAGCTCGGAGCCCCAAGTTCAGGATCAGGGTTTCTGTTCCTTAACAGGTGGGCATCAGAACGGAGAGGGCTGGACCAGTCCCAAAGCCAGTGGGTTGGAGTGAGGCTTAAGATACTAGATCTGAAATTACTTGGGGACAGTGGTCAGAGGTCGAGGTCAGGAAGGAGCAGACACCTTGCTGCGGGCCAGAGCCTCCACGTTGGCGCCCAGATCGTCCACCTCCATGCGCAGCTCGCTCTTTTCCTTTTCCAGCTTCTGCCGCACCCGCTGCAGGCTGTCCACCTGCTCCCCCAGCTCGGCTGTGCTCTCTGCCTGCTTGCGCCGCAGGGCGGCCACCGTGGCCTCGTGCCGCAGCACCGCCTCCTCCAGCTCCCGCCGCAGCCGCCCCAGCTCAGCCTCGCGCTTGCGGCAGCCCTCACGCTGCCCAGCCGTGGCGCCACCGGCTTCCTCCAGCCGCTCGCTCAGCTCCTCCAGCTCCCGGGCCGCCTCTGCGCGCTGCTTCTCCACGCGGGCCCGAGCCGCGCGCTCCGCCTCCAGCTCCTCTTCCAGCTCCTCGGCCCGAGCCTGGGGTGGGCAGGCAGCTGTCATGTCTGTGTGACCTGCCCCAGGCCCTCCTGCACAACCCCACGCACCTGCAGCTCCTTGATCTTCTTCTGCAGTTGGGCCTCCAGGAGCTGCTCATCCTCCACCCGCAAGCTTAGCTGACTCAGCTCCGAATCCTTCCTGGGAGCCACGGGGTGGGTAAGTCAGCCCAGGCCCCCGCCCCCAC